TTATTTTGATGATGTCCTAATAGTTCATTTTGCTTTTGTTTCCCTTGCCTCCGGAGATGTGTTGAATAAGAAGTTGCTGTGGCCAAGGTCAAAGAGCTTTTTCCTGCTTTCTCCTTGAGGATTTTGATGGCTTCCTGTCTCACATTTAGGTCTTTCATCCATTTTGAGTCTACTTTTGTGAATGGTGTAAGAAAGTGGTCCAGGTTCATTCTTCTGCACGTCGTTGTCGAGTTTTCCCAGCACCACTTGCTGAAGACACTGTCTTTATTCCATCGGATATTCTTTCCAGCTTTTGTCAAAGATTAGTTGGCCATATATTTGTGGGTCCATTATTGCGTTCTCTATCCTGTACCATTGATCTGAGTGTTTTTGTGCCAGTACCATACTGTTTGATGATTACAGCTTTGTAATATGTCTTGAAGTCCAGGATTGTGATGCCTCCAGCTTAGTTTTCTTTTTCAAGACTGCTTTGGCTATTTGGGGTCTTTTCTGGTTCCATACAATTTTAGGATTGTTTGTTCTAGCTCTGTGAAGAATGTTGGTGTTATTCTGATAGGGATTGCTCTTGGTTTGATTTTTAAAGCTCACATTCCTTGAGAGTTTACCTGTGCAGGCCACTCATGTATCATTGTACTTAATCCTCACAACAGTAATTGCTAATCCCCAGTTTGCAGATGGGAAAACTGAGGCTCAGGAAAGCCACGTAATCTGGCCGAGACCTTGGAGCAAATAAAGGTGGAGTTGGGATTTGAACCCAGGTGTTTTGGTCCTCAGCCCTATCTTCTACTAGTATCTCTCATGGTAGAGTGCGTCATCAAAAGGGCTAGATTTGCTGATGTCTGAATTTCTGCTCTGCTTGGTGTGGTGTGAGAGTGATTCAGACAGCCCCTGCTTGTGAGAGATGTCGGTCCCAGGCAGGAAGGGTGCTGAGGACACGGCAGAGATGGAACTGGCTCTGGGGGTTGGAAGAAAATCCTGCTCCAAGATATTAATAGGGTCTACAGGCATCTAGGCATTTTCCAGGCTTTCCCATTCTTTCTGTAATGCATTTGTTTCAGCAAAAAAAACAAGATATAGAATAAATGCTTGATTAGAAAATTAAATGCATGAAGCCTTCCCAGCTGTAGGTGAAGGGACTCACTCCTGTCCTGCAGAGTAACCAGCACACAGAGGAATGAGTGCTCACCTCCGACCCTGCCCTGAGTGGAAATGCTCATGTTTGCCATCTTACTTGTCCTCATGATTTTAAGTCCTGAATGAAAGTCTTCCCCCTCCAGGAAGCCCTCCAGGAGCACCCCAGCCAGGCCCATGTACATATCCTCTGTGATTTCTGAGCATCCACTGCAGCGCCTGGTGGTAGAGTGGGCCCCAGCACCTGTGCACGACCAACTCACTCCCCCAGCTACTGGGCCTGCTGACAATGGACAGTTACATCTGGGTCCGCCCTCTTAGCAGATGCTCACTTGAAGAGAGATGTCTCTCTCCAGGTCACACCTTCTCCCTGGGACAGTCCACGCCCTAGGACATTATGAGAGAGACAGCTCTGCAGGCTCCCTGAGGGCTCTCTGAGGTCACCTGAGACCTTTGATGTGACTGCCAGGCAGCCCAGCTTCTCCCCAGTCCAGCCCTGCCTCCTCCCTTCTCTGCAAGCCTCCATTCTGAGAACATTCCCCGGTAAATTCCCTGCACGCCAGTGTCCTCCTCAGGGTCTTATTTCTGGGGATCCAACATGCAACACCCGTGGTCCTCTTGGGTTGCCTCTCTCTTTTGTCACTTGTTAATGTGGTGGCCTCTCTTTATAGCTACATCTCAAGGGTGGAGGGCTTTTCTTCCCGGCTGGACTCACAGAGCCTTTGATTGAATTCAGCAACCCAACGTACGACCTGCAGATCCCAGAGATCAAGAGACTATGCTCTTTTATTTGTTTATTCCATGAAGATGAGGCATGACCAAGATGTGGTGCAATGCTTAAGATGCTTACACTCCAGTGGGGGGTGTTGGGGGGGAACAGATACACAGAGAGGGTGCGTTCCAGAATAGAACTCAGGAATGATGCTGTGGAACCCCCAAGGGAAAGCGGTCCAGCAGAGAGCAGGAAGCAGGAAGATTCTGAGCTAGCCTTTCTTTGGAGGCCGTGTCAGGTCTGGGCAAGCAGCGGGAGGGGAAGGGAAGTTTTCCAAAGACTTTTCTCATTTGTCGAGGGGGGATAATAGCTGCAGGCCTCGGAGGTTGTTTTGAGGACAAAACTATCAAACAAAACTATCAAATCCTCTACAAGCATATGAAGCCACATCACAGGCAGGCACAGGATTGTACAGAAACAGAAGTCTGGTTGGGTATAGAGAAGGGGTGGGGTGGGGTAGAAGGGAAGCCGTACAGTCTCCATCAGAGGCCACTGGCCCTACAGAGAGGGACCAGGGAAGTAAGAGGTGGGGCAGAGAGAACCTTCAGGAGCCCTGGGGGAAGTGAGTGGATCTCCACATCTCCAGGCCCCCGAAAGTGCTTGGCACATTGCTTTATGCCTGACAAGCTCAACAGACTCCCAATCTTGTGTGAAAACAAGAGGCAGGAGCAGCTGCCATTCCTGATGGATACGTGCATATAGCTGTCCCGGGGTGTGCTCCAAATGGGAAGAGGGGCCGATGCCTTTGCAGAGGGCAGCGTCAGTGTGACACAGGGCCTCGGCGCCTCTGAGTTGGAAGATTTTTGCACTGGTGTCATGTCATGTCACCCTACATGGAGTTAGGTATTTTGGCTTCCCCAGAGACTCCAGGCTGGTGTGGTGGTGCTGGGGTGGGGGGGGGGGGGGGGGGGGGGGGGGGGGGGGGGACATCATCCACACTCCTCTGCTGGGGGCCAGCAGAGCAAATGTGTCAGATAAGGTTGAGGGGGTAGAGGGGGACAGACCCTTCTCCAAAGTCCCTTCTGACCTGTTGTGGCTGGCGTGCCCTCCTCCCTGATCTGGACATAGTACCACCATCCCAAGTGGCATAAACTAGTAGACTTCAAATCCCTTTGGGTAGCCCAGCAACTGGATGTCGTGGCACCTTGGGCAGAGTGCTTTGAGGTACTGATAAGCCTGATTCCATCGTGTAAAATAGGAACACTTTTGTTAGCAGGAGAGTCAGCTATATTATATGTGCATTATGTTCTAATCACAACCAAAACACAGGCTGTCAAGCTCGTCAATGCCTGATGCGTCTCAAGTCTGCCTCTCAGGCTCTCTGCTTCCTGCTCTCAGTGAGCAGCTCCTCAGCCTCCCCAAGCCCAAGGCAGAAATGCTGTTCCCTCTACCCCTACTCTCTCTGCTTGCCCCGGCCCCTCTCCCATCCCACATCTATCCATTGGATACCGATGCACAGGTCAGCCGCTGATTCTGAACACTTCTCTCCTCATCCCTGCCACCTTCATTCAGACAACCACCCTCCCTTCTCCAAATGACAGCCATAGCCTGGCCTCCTCCAAGGCCTCCCTATGCTGCAGCAGCCACTTTACTAAAACACCAGCCCCGTGGTCCTTCCTCTGCACCCAACCCCTCAGGGCCTCCCAGTCTTATGAGACAGAATCTGGCCCATGACTGGCCCCCCGGTTTCTTTTGCCCCCGCTTCACACCCTACATTTTTAGCCAAACAGAACTGTTTGTTGTCTGGCACCGTGTTGTGTTCTCTCTAGCTGCAGGGTCTCCCAAACTCTGTGGCCTGGCTATTTCCTCCTTTGATCGCATCTCAGATGACACCTCCTTCAGGAAGTTCTCAGGCTCTCAGGGCAGGAATGCAGAAACTCCTCATCTCTTCCTCGGGTTCCTACAGCCTCCCAGCTGGTGTGCCGCCACCTGCTTGGTCACACACTTCCATCCTCTGAACAGCGGTTGGAACCTTGTCGCCGGAAGGCGCCTCTGATCACGTGGTTCCCACTGCCCTTAGGCTCAAATGTAGCGTGACTTGGAAGGCCTTCTAGGATCTTGCTCTGGCACCCTCCCCAGTTCAGCTCACGGGCTTCAGCTGCCCCGAATGAATCTCTTCCAGCCCTCCACCGGGTGTCTGCTGTCTCGCTCTGTCATTTGCTTATGCTGTTTCTTCTGTCTAGACACTTCCCTGGGCTCCCAGCTCTTCACCTAATGACTTAGGGTTGTCTGTCAAAAGCCACTTCCTCTGGAAAGTCTTATTTCAATGCTTAAACTAGCTTTTGTGGTCCTCCTGCATTCCATTTCCTAGTGCCCACTGCTTATAGATTTAAGTGCTTGATTCATGGGCTGTTGTTTCTTTTAGAATGTGAGCTGGGTAAGGGCGCCCGGGTGGCTCAGTCGGTTAAGCTTCTGACTTCGGCTCAGGTTATGATCTCATGGTTCTTGAGTTCGAGCCCTGTGTCGGGCTTTGTACTGACAGCCTGGAGCCTGGAGCAAGGGCTTTAGGTTCTGTGTCTCCCTTTCTCTCTCTGCTGCTCCCCGACTCATGCTCTGACTCTCTCTCTCTCTCAAAAACAAACATTAAATTTTTTTTAATTTAGAATGTGAGCTGGAGAACCATGTATATTTCGTTCCAGCCCATATTTCTAGCACCACATAGAACAGTGCTCAATAAATATTTATAGAATCAAGAAAGAATGAATGTGTATTCCTGTTCCTGCCCCTAGAAGCTGGAACTCCTCACTAACTTGTCTCCAGGAGGTGGTGCATGGGATGTGCTTACTAAGTGTTTGTTGAATAAATAGATGAATGAATGATCAGCTCTTTTCAAGTTCATTTATTTTATTATACTTTCTTTAAAAAAATTATAATTGCTCATTTGTCTTGCCATCTGCAAGAACTTGCCAGCAGAAGAGTGGCAGCAGGCCCCAGCGTTTTAAGAAAATCGTTAAAATACAGAACTGAAAATCCCGAGGCTGGAGAATTCTACTAACTGCCAGTGGTTGGCTGTAGCTCCGGAGCTTTCCGTGGGAGGCAGCACGCTCTGGGAGGTCCTCCTGCTCACCCGCCGTGTCCGTTTTTCCTGGCCAGAGCCTGGCCACCCAGTGGCCCCGTTGCCCCGATGGATCCACTGAACCTGTCCTGGTACGATGATGATCTGGAGAGCCAGAACTGGAGCCGGCCCTTCAACGGGTCCGAAGGAAGGACCGGAAAGCCTCACTACAACTACTACGCCACGCTTCTCACCTTGCTCATCTTCGTCATCGTCTTCGGCAACGTGCTGGTCTGCATGGCCGTGTCCCGCGAGAAGGCGCTGCAGACCACCACCAACTACCTGATCGTCAGCCTCGCCGTGGCCGACCTCCTGGTGGCCACGCTCGTCATGCCCTGGGTTGTCTACCTGGAGGTAGGTCTGCCCTCCCCTCCGCTGCAGGGGAGCCTGGAGTCCAGGCACTTCCCGACGAATTGCCTGGTGCCTTCTCAGCAGGCCTGGCCTCTCCTTCCACTCCGGGCTCAGTTTTTCCCCTTATGAAACGGGCTTAATGCCTCTTTCACAGTCCCAACTGCCAGTTGGAGAGTGCTTACTAAGGGTCGAGTCCTCTATCCCTGGCGTTTTCCCGTGTAGCCCTCAGGCCAGCCCTGCGAGGTCACCCCACGACTACCACCGTCTCACAGATGGTGAGCCAGGTGGTCAGAGAAATTCGGTGACTTCTCCGGCATCGTGCAGCTGGCAGGTCCCAGCTGGAACTCGGCTTGGCCCCAGGTTGGTTGGTTAGATCATGCTGCAAATGGGAGTGATGGAGGAAGATCCTCAAGGAAGGGAGATGTTCATGCATCCAGACCCGAAGCTTCCCATTCTTTCTTGTCACTTCGAAAGTGGGAGCTGCTACTCTGTGTGCTCCTTATGCCTCCCCTCTTCCCAGTTCGGTCTAGCACCAATGTCTGGGACCTCCAGGCAGGGTCCGCTGTGGGCTGGGCCACAGCCCCTTGGCTCGGGAAGGACCACATGGTCACCCAGGGCTCGGCCCAGGATGGGGCCCAGCTCTGCACTTCCGAATAGAGAGTGGGCGGCCCCTGCCGTGGTCCAGGCACCTCGCCAGGCATTTCGCGGACACAGACTCAGCAAACAGTCATGCTAATCCTGGGAGTTGATACTTTTCTTCTCAGTTTACAGAAGAGGAAACAGAAGCTTTGAGAAGCTGTCTGTCCTCAGATCGCACAGCAAGGGGAGTAACCGGGGAGCCACTTCCAACAGGCAGATGTGGGAGGGTCTAGGGTCTTGCGTCCTGGATCCTGCCCTAGGATTCTGGGGTGGAGTCTGGGAAGTGACCAGCCAGTCAGGAAAGAGCCAACACTAAGGTCACTGCGATCATTGGGCACTTACCTTCCCGTCCTGGGCAAGATAGGGGGGATACACCTGTGCTATGGAGGCAAGTCCCTGGCTGGGAGGGTAGGGCTTCCACTTTTAAAGGAAAACATGCCATTTTGTAGGCTTGAGCCGAGGCGACACCCAGAAGAGGGAGCTGAGGTGGGGGAGAGGAGGCTGGCCCAGCGTGGCCCCTCTCCTGGTCTCCGCACCCGGGGGCTCCCTGGGCTTCCTCATCATGCTCACAGGATCACACACCTCTGGTTTTCTGTAGCACAGCCCCAACAGGCTGGGACGTCCAAAATGAATGTGAAGGAAAAACCCCGAAGGAAACAAGCAAAATAACATGAAATCTACAGGTGCCACAGGCCAGGGGTCCACTTCCTCCACGACTCACACGTCCGTGAGTCTGTCCAAGCACGTCTTGTCTGAGGGCCTCTCCCTGAGGAACCCTTCTCAATCCTAAGGCCTCTTCCCTTCCTGCTCCCTCTCAAAGGAGGGTCCCAGGCCTCAGACCATCAGGGGAGAATGAGGGGCGAGTGGCAGAGCAAAGAACCTCTCTGTGCCTCACTTTCTTTATCCATATAAAGGAGATAATCACAGTATCTACCTCGTGGCATTGCTTTAGCATCTAATGAGTTAGTTAATATATGCAAAGGGCTCAGATTGGTACCGCACACTGTAGTGAGCAAGATGTAGAAATCAGCTGTGACAGTGGCGCTGAAGACGAACGTGACGGTGGTAGCCATCCAGCACCTGTCCTCATAGCGAGGGCCCTCCCCGTGCCCAGGCAGCAAGGCGCCCTCTACCCACAGTGAAGCATGCTCTGCCCGCGGCTCCACGCAAGGCTTCTGGGCTTCCAGATCTGCAGCCTCTCCCCCGACACTCTAGGATAGAGCCACATCTGTACACAGGCTGTACTGGGGGTTTCTGAGAATCTGTAAGTCCTGTGAACAGATACTTTCAACATAACCAGTTCACCGTTATTTTAAGGGGGAAGCGCAGTGGTTTGGGGGGCAGGGTGGAGAACAGTATCATGGAGGGTAGTGCTCTAACTTTCTCATTATTTCCCTTTAAAACAAGAGCTGGACAGTGAGCTCGACTTACAGGTTATTGTCCCAGCCATTTTTTGTCCTGAGAGACTGTCCCGAGGGGAGTCTCAGCCTATCCCAACATCCTGTCAGAGTGTTCTTGCAGCCCATATACTCTTTCCTTTCTAAGAGATGCTCTTGTTGTCCAGAATTTTCCACCCTGTTCCCTTCCCAGCAATACTAGTGCCTCTCACAGCCTGCCATGTCAGCACGTGTCTAGCGTGCTAGATTGGATTGGATGTGCTTTACTCTTTTTTTTTTTATTTTTTTTTAATGTTTATTTATTTTTGA